ATCAAAAACAATAGTACCCCATAACTACTAAGGTTGAATATCTTTAATCAACAGAGTTGATGCTGCTTTATCTTGCATTTATTATGATTCAATGTCTATATCCACATTTCATTGAGGCCGTCCCTGACTTATGAAAGATGCTAGTTACAATAATCAACAACTAGAGCTGACCTGGATATGGAGGACCTTTTCCTGAATGCGCCTAGGAAATGCTTTTGAAATACTGAAATTAAGATGCTGAAATTTTCTATTCATCACCTACTTCCAGGAATTAAACTGTCATGGTGTTTCTGCTAAGCCACCTAATGTGATTTTTGTTTGCAGTTTAAAATACTGCTGCCCTCCAGCTGTTCATTACTTACCTACTGAAGTATTTGCCCCATAGCAGCCTTGCAAGAAAAATGTGCTTGGGCTTCAGTTCACAGACAGGTAGCTGAGCTTAGGTCTTAGGTCTGCCTTTATTGGCAATGCAAGATGTGAGAAAATGGTCTGGGCATGTGTTGGGCTCTGCATCTTCCTTCACCACTGGCAGCAAGGTGCAGTGGAGAGATCCAAATGGTGTTTCTTAAGCTGCAGCAGCAGTATTTGTCAAAGCTTGTCCCTGAGAACCCATTAGTAATTTAGGTGAGAGAGTTTCCTTTGGAGAAGAGGCTTTAGACACTTAGAAGTCCAAGAATATGGCCATACCTCCATCATACGCACAGAGTGATAATGGCTTAACTGCTAGCTGGAAGCTTAGTGCCCATAATTATGCATGTGCACAAACCTTTATCTTTCTCCAGTTGTGAAGTAAATAAATTTAACCTTGGATTTTAGTGAAAAAAGACATGAATAAGACAGACACAGAATTACTATGCTTTGTAAGGTAAAAATGGTCAGTTATTACAGCCGGCTGATTGGACGCATACTGTCAAGGCATTGCTGATACGAAGTACAGTATGTTGCTGATCTAAATGTTCTGGTTGCGCTAGCATTTTAAACTCTATCTGAGAGGCAGCACTGAAGTAATAACTTGCTCGTTGATCAGAGTTGCCAGTTTATGGCAAATAAGATGTTAAAATGTCATGATGTAGTGTACCAGAATCATTTAAGGACTTTGAGGTTTGAAGAAAATGATGCAGAGGAAATATTGGTCCTGAATGACGTATCTGGTGATAAGTTCTTCACTATAGTTTTCATAGCAAGATTTTATAACAGGAATGTAAAATAACCTTTACATCTGAATTTCCTCGTATGCACACTGACCAAGTATTTCACCCATCATATCAGTCTTGGGAAGCAGTGCACTGCAGTGCTGATGCACTATATAACTGGAGCTTGCCACAACCTATATATCATAACAGAGCTGCTGAGTCTTTTCTGATACCTTTTGTGTCAAAAATTAAACGGTGTCAGGAATCTCAGCCGTAAATGTAGGGTAAGTCCTTTCATGTAAATGTCTCCTATATTCATTCCCTTTCTTCCGTAACGCATATATTAATATATGAATAACAGGACTCAGAAGTACGTAGACTCAAAACCAAAACCTTTTTTCGGCAATGATGTTACTAACAGAGGCTTTGTGTTCCTTCTCAGTGCAATGACTTTGCTAATGTGAGTATTAAAAGCTCTGTATCTCAGCCCTCTGTCACATCTAACCTGAACTGACAGACAGCCCACAGAAATGAGTGGGCAATCTTACTCCACTCCTTTAAGCAGAGCAACGTCTGTGCTATTGATAGCTGCTAGCGTTCTTGACAATTTTTACAATGGATTCTGCAGCTTAAGAGGAGAGGAAGAAAAAAAATGCAAACTGCGTAAATAATTTTACAGAGACACAGTGGGCCATATTCCTAGTGGGTTATTAGCTGATGTACTATACAGATGGAACAACACTGATTCTCCCACACAAAAATTTTGACTCAGTAACTTTGCAAGATACTTTTCTGTTGTTAGTCTTTCTCCTGAAGTAAAATTATTTTTGGTGGGGAAGAGCAAAACGATTTAACTTGCTTCTCTCAAGATTGTGTACAGCTATGTAAAAGAGGAAGCTTACAAGCATCATCTTTAACTGGGTTTGTCCAATAGCAGATCTTACTCTCCTGTGATAACGAGATTGCTTCTTCCGTTATGACAAGGGAGCCTTTTTCTCAGACCCTGCCTTGTTCATGTCATTCCTTGTCCATGAAGTAGTTCATGCGCCATGTTGAAGTGCTTGTCTCTTCCTTTGCATATTGATTAGTTTAAAGAGAAACCACATACCAAAACCCACAGTCTTTTTCAGTCCTTCTTCCAGGATAGGAGTGCTTATAAATTCTCACCTGCTCGTGTCTAGTGTATCAGTACCACAACGTAGATTTGCAAATGGACTATAGTTTCTCCTTCTCTAATTGTCAGGTTGTGCTGGCTGCATCCCTGACTTTTTTGGCAAAATCAAATGTAATAGTCTAATAGCTCTCACAGCTATTGCTTCCTTTTAGTTCCTTAACTTTGAAAGATTCGGTGTCCATTTAAAGTGGATTTTGGTACATAATCTAATTCCCAAAGCATCCCCAGTTGTGTTCTTTTGTACAAAAACCTATGCAAATGATCATCTTGTAAAGGGTCAATGCTCTCTGAAATAAAAAAATAGAAAAGATCATATCAGTGTATACACACCACAGAAATATTGGTAACTAGTGTATATTATACTAATCATTATTATCTTAAGAAAAGAATTATTCTAAAAACACAGGCACATGGCCACTGGCCTTTCTAATGAACCTTCAAAATGCACATCAGTTGCATAAAGATAAATAAGGATGTGTATATTTAAAAGCATTGGTTAGTCATTACTTGATCTGTGCGTTTTTAATCATGCAATCAGGCTATTATGAATGCAGCAAAAATCACCTGAAATGTGGTCCCTGTTTAGAAAGTGAGAACTTGTACTTATTATAGAAGCACCGTTCATTCATATTCATCTATGCATGTGCTATATCCAATTCCAGAGGAGTAAAAGTGAACCTCCCGTGATATCTGCTTAACTAGATTTATTTTATATTGCACACAGAAATGCACAGAATATTGGCCAGAGGAGCAAGTCACCTATGAAGGAATAGAAATCACAGTTAACCAAGTCATACAAGCAGACGATTACCGTTTAAGGCTCATCACCCTAAAGGTAAATCAATCATTCCATTGTACTTACAGTAAGTTAGCTGTCTTAACCCTTAAATGGAGATGTTCATGGAGAGTTGTGTAGAAATCTTCTGCACAGTGAATTGCTGTACAAATACCACTTTTCATTACTGAAGTTTGCAGCTGCTTTGCCCAGTTCGCCAACATACAAAAACTACAGTAAAATAAGCAGTCACAGATTTAGACTGCATATGTACAATCTGAAAGCTACCAGGCCAGTTGTGGTAGTATGGGGTTCACTCAGTGGAAGAAACCAGTGACTCATTCTGTGCCCGTGTCTGCTGTGTTGACTGGTCATTTAGAGTGATGTGTTAGCTCACAGATAGCTTCTTACCAGCCTTTGCAAGTCAGACAGACAGCACTTGTGGAATAACCTGCTAAACTCTGTGATGATGTTCTGTAGAATTCAAAGACTTGTTTATTCTTTGGGCCATGGACTTAGGCAAAGGATTACTGATTACTAACAGGGAACTTTTACCTGCATGGCATCTTACATATTTTGTAGTATGGGAAGACCCCTCAGAAGTATTTAGGTTGTGCTTCTTGTCTTTTTATGACCTTTATTAGGATGCTGTCAGACTGCTGGATACCCACCAGCTGTTTATACCTAAGATGACTTGTGCTACTAGCAAGAAGTGGGGGAGTTGAGAACTGAGCAGAAGGCTTTTCAATTTTGCTTACCTGTTTTCAGTTTCTCACAGCAGTGGGACTACTGGTCTGCTTGGCACTTGTCAGTGATGTGGTAGCACCACTTCTGTTCACCATGGCTGAACCCCCTTTAATAGGTACCACGCTAATTTATTCTTTGAGTGATTTGGCTGACTTGACTTTGTAGATGCTTTAAGGGATCATTCCACTCCAAGACACTGTTGATGTCCTTTAAAAACACTTTCACCGCAGCGTTCTCCATGCTTACATTTCTAAAAATTAGTATCTTTCCAACTAACTGTATATGTAGTTTTACATACTGGTAACCATTCTGTCATCTTGTGGATGGAGGTTTAATTTTTTAGATGTACTTAGATGCTACTTAGTCTAAAGTACCAGAGTCCTATTTTACAACCGTTTTCATTGCTAGGTTCTAAGATCTCAAGCTACGTGTTTTAATAAGAACAGTCTATTTACATAAACTTTATACATCTTTCATCTACCAGATCTACCCCTGACCTCAGTATAACACCACAATTTCTTTCCAAGCTGAAAAAACTCTCCTTTTATCTAACCAGTTTCAAGTCTCTTCAGCCATATGCTAATACGCAGAAAGCCAGCATATGAAATCCCATGTCTGGATTGAGAGTGTGGAAAGTCTGTCACTCGTGCTTTTGGCAAAGGCAGCAAGAAGAAAATCACACTCCTTGACAAGTGGGAAGTAAAGAATATTTACAAGTATGTTGCAGACTTGCACGGGTCTTATATACAGTTTATCCAAAACACTACAGTGCAGCAGCAAGAGTAAAACACAGATAAATTCTGCTGGAATGCTGATATCTAACAGAACCGGTCACTTTTTAGTTATGGTGACAAAACAAAATTTCCTCAATAAAAAACTACACTGTCTGCCAGAAGAGTTTTTCATAATTGTTTTAAATTGTTAAATACAGCATTTTAATATTAGTGAATATTGCAAATTTTTTTTTCAGCTTGACATTAACTTTAGAGATTGAGGTTGAAATGTTCTTCCCCACCTGCCCCCGTCCCCC